ATTGTTTACGGCAACTGGAATCAATGGCAACTATTTTCATGAAAGAAGATGACAGTTTAAAACAATTTAAGCTCATATAATTGCCAAAATATTAAAAAATAATATATTATGAAACATTTAATTATGAAAATTTATAGTTGATAATTAATAGGTTTAAAATATTATTAGCCATTACTGAACAGAGTAAAGAATAAATACCAGTTACAGAATGTGTAGATTATTTTTAAAGCAGTGGAGTAATTTGACTATTATTAGCTTGGATGTGGATGTTTAAAGCCACGTTATGATTCAGAAACAAAATATTTAAACGCATTCAAATATAGCAGCCGTAAGCCAATTTTTAAAGTAATACTATTTCAAAGTAAAAATAACCAATCTCATAAATTACAAACGGGAAGTCAAAATGTAGAAAAAAATTATTTACATCTATGTGTGCCAGATATTTTACCTCATTTAATATCTGGAAATACCATACCAGATATGTATTATTCCTCTCTATTCACAGAGGAGGGCCAGCCAAAAGTAACAACTTCCGGCGGGGGGGGGAGGGGGGACCCCTGGCTGCTGGCTCAGTTGGTAAAGCAGACAGAGCAGGCAACTCCTGATCTCTGGGTTGTGAGAGTTCGAGTTCTGCGTGGGGTGTAGACATTACTTAAAAATCTTGAAAGAGAAGAGAAGAAATAGTAAATGACAAAGGGTTTGAAACCATATGTGTCTGGTTCTGAAGTCTTTTCTCCTTCCCCTATCATGCTATATACATGTAAGAATCATTTCATATATTTAAAAAACAAAAAACCCAAACCTGAAATCATCCAATCGCCACTAGTCTTAAAAAGTTAAAAGAACCAACAAAAATAGGGAGGGAGCACTTAGGTGGCTCAGTCCATTAAGCATGGGACAGGATTTCAGCTCAGGTCATGATTTCACGATTTGTGGGATCAGGCCCTGCCTGAGGCTCTGTGCTCACACCACCAAAACTGCTTGGAAGTCTCTCTCTGCCCCTCCCCCACTCACGTGTCTTCTCTCCCTCTCAAAAAAAAAAAAAAAAAATCTTAAAAAAAAAGGAGAAAATATGTTTTTGGTTGAAATAGTTCCACCTTTATTTCTAAAAATGATCAATAATTATAAAGACAGCTGTAAAACATAATGAAGTAGATGTTACCATTCGATCTTCTTTAGAGATGTTCTTTAGAGAATAAAATATAGGACAGGAGTGGATTGTATGAACACAGAGGAGAGAAGTGAACGCCCAAAGCTAATATAAGCCATATTCTGGAAAAGAGGAGGGAAATATTTTAGAAGTTCTGGGTCAAAACTTTTGTGGTCACCGAGGTTCACAGGGATTGTTTGGGTGTTTTACAGCTCTGCCGGTCGTCTCTTGTTTCTAGATACCCTCTGTTTTTCTTCACTCCCAACATCATTCCCCAGATTCTTCAATAAGCCTTACTCCTCACAGTGTCACTAACCACGTTATCTATTCGAAAATTAACAGAACTGAACCGGTAATCTTAACACGCCGTGAAGCAACAACAAAAAAAAGTAACAGAATTTTAGAGTTGGGAGGTATTTTACATTGAGTTTAAATCTGGGTGCACAGCCTCCTATGGTCTAGGGCGCAACTGAGACTCGGAGAGAGAAGTGACTTGGCCAAGGACAAAGCCTGAGTTGGCAGCGAGACCAGACGTTGAAGCTTGAACTCAGACTCGGCTCCTCGGCTTTTCCGACCACACGAATCTGGGCTGAGCCTCAGAGCCGGTACTGCCATTGACAGAGCGGGAAAATGCTCCGGGCAGATCACAGATTATTACCTCAAGCAACACCCTGTCCCCCGAGGTTCCTTTCCAGGGTTAAGACCACGGTAAGGTTAGTTGAGATGTTGGCGTTTCTAGAGGGCTTGCGGGCAGGAGCCAAGTAGACAAACCGGTCTCCCTTCCACACAGCTGCGAGCGCACACCGCCTCTAACCTAAATCCACGCTCCCGCCGCCTTCACCCACCCCATAACCGGTGACACACTGAACTCGGCGCGCCGGAGGTCCCCGAAGGCTGATCCTCCCGGATCCCCTCCCAGCCCACTCTCCGGATGAAATTGGTCCCCAAAACGTTAAGGAGAGAGGGGTGCAGGAACAAAGCGACCCCAAGCGGTCCCCCTCCCTTCTGGGCACCCCCCCCCCCCCCC